AGCACGGGCCGTCCTCCTTCCACTCCACGAGCGAAGCGAGAGAGAGCCCAGGCCCCTGTCCCGCCTTTCCTTTTCCCGTATTGCCCCTGTTCCCCACCCCCCTGTGAGAGAAAACTATTGCTACTGAGGTGTAGCCACAAATACTTAGCATAACAATGGGAAAACTTCCACAGAAAGAAAAGGGAACAATTCAACCCCCAACATGTATGAATAATAATTACATAATGTGGCAGAGGAAACCATGTACTTTTATTTAAGTTTAATCTTTATAGATATGAGGCAGGTATAGAAGGTGAGCTATTTGCTTTAATGATATTATGATTAGATTAGCTATTAGAATATGTGCCTGCGGTGTCTGCTTTCTAAGCAATGATGGATTGGGCTGGAGGAAATGCTCTGCTTTATGGTTTATTTGGGTTTAGACCCTAAGGCAGCCAACACTTTTCCCACGTTCTAAGCAGTCTTCTTGTATAAGCTCCAAGAATGAAAATTGCATTCTTTATGAAACTCTCTATAGAATCTTCTGCTGTTGTTGTTTTTCCAACTTCTGCTATTGACTCTTCCACACTTTGTGCCAGAAAGACTTATATTTTGGTCTTACAGTCCACCCCTAACCCATCTTTATCCCATTTCTTTCAGGTGACTATTCACATCCAGCTCCTCGTGAAGGAGCTGACAACACTGCTCAACTGAAAGTCAGCCAAGGGTTGAAATGTTCTGAGCATTACAAACGTTTGTATTGCATCTTAGTGGTTTTCCTTCCTTCCACCCTACAGGATCTCATGACCCCATAGATACTAGAGCAAAACAGGAGAGGCTTTCAATGGAAAATCAATGTGACTTGGCAGCTTGTGAAAGATCTTAGAGATGGAACTGTAGAGCTGTGTGGAGGAGTGAGCAATCCATCACAGCAGCATGATTTCCAGTTCATGGAAGAACAATGAAGAAAATAGAAAGTGAAGCAACAGTGTCACAACAAGGGGAAGGGACATAACCTTCAAATAGCAGGTTTTTCCACCTCTCTGAAGCATTGGGCATTGTCTTCTTGCAGAAGTATGACAAAGAGCTTGATGCTCTGATCTTTAATGGCAGATCCTAAGGGCAGGGGGAGCTGACACGCTTGTTAGCATTTGACCCAGTTCAAACTAACAGGTTCTGAGGAACAAAGACTCACTGTGAGGTTATGGAGAGGGAAACCTGAACCAAACTGACATTGAGAGAAATATTCATGGCAACTAGAGATCCAAGTACCTAAGGAACAAGAACAAATCTGCCAAGCCCAAAACCTTCCCTTGCTTTGTTGTACCAGTAGCAATCCAGCTGGTGAAGGACCAAAGCTGCTACCACAGGGCAGCAGACCAAAGTGAAAGGTCACAGGCAGATCTGGTCTATGCCAGTAAGTTTTTTGTTCTTGTCGCAGTCTGAAATTCTCAGTCCTACCTTATTGCTGTTCCTTGGAGGAACATGTAAGAAGTTCTAACATTGCTTTGTGCTCTGCTGTGCCAGGGACAAACCTTATCTTCCAGGGGTTACTGCTAATATGACTTGAATAGAGGACACTCATCCTATTCAAATCCCTTGTGGATTTTAACACTTTTTTTTTTTTTTGCTGAAAGGAAAAAATACTCGATCCCACCCAGTTACATCTGATCATCCTACATGTGTCTCACGGCACAATCTTATCAGATATTGCTGCTTCCCAGGCTGTGGAAAAGTTTTTTCATGGCAATTGGCTGATATGTTAGTATGTGCAACACTTTGTGATGCTTTTAGGCCTCACCTTTGTTTTTCTGTCACTCTTGCAAGAAGCTCCACAGCACCTTTGTGGATCTGCTGTGACTTTTGTAAAATTTAAGCACTCGATGTTGCAAGTAGAACAGAAGTATTGAAAGCAGGGCAGCCTTTTTAAGGAGGCATTGATGATCAGTGCAGGGTGGGTTTGGATGATGAAAAGACAAGTAAAATGCCTAGATTTTGCTAAAATGTCATAGAAGTTACAGATTCCTTGGAATGAGAGCCAGGATGGAGGCGGAAAAGACCCGTGAGAGTGAAGAAGAGTTACCCAAAGGCAGTGTGCCGTATCTAAAGATAGATCAGCTTGGAGGGAAAGACTAGAATAACTTAGATGGAGAGGTTTAGGGGAGAAAATCCAAGCCCAGGGACATAACATGGCTTACCAGAGCCAAGCAAGCTGAGTCTGCTGGCACTGCTTGGCAAAAGATCTGAGTGGCCTCATTAGGATGACTTTTGTGCCCAGAAGATCAGTTGTCTTAGGAGAAGAAATCAATGTCCCCACAAAATTCCCCCACAAAAACGTGTCTGTGGGAGCTGGACATACAGAAGTGGAAGCTCAACCTCACAGCTAACCTAGGAAGAATTTTATTTTTTTTTTTTTACACCTCCAATCCCATGTGTTGTGCTTTTTCCTACTGTTTAATGTTATATTCACTACTGATTTTATTGAGATTGAAGTGTCTGTGCACTGAATTTTTTTCAAGCAAAAAATGCTGCCCTGTACAGTAGACAGCTAAACCAAAGCAATCTAGAACCAGCTAGAAGCTGGTTTTTACTTAAGGTAAAAAGGTCAGAACCATTGTGCTAATTTTTGTGTTATTTTTAGAAGCAGTCTTAACTCATACATCCTTTAGAGAGGCTGATGAAGCCTCTGTCTTGGACTTCCTGGAGACATCCATGCCAGTGAGCCTCAAAAAACCGAGATACCTACAATATGAGTACTTGGTTTTGAATGAGAGTCAGAGACTGACTTGTCAACAAGCTCTTATCATATGACCTAAAGCTGAATAAGCAAATACATACAAGTTAATAAACAAACCAAACTAAATAAAACAACCTAGCTCTGGTGCAAAGTCGAGAAAATGACTGGTCTCATGGAAAATTTCTCTGCAGCTCCAGCAAGGTTCAGGTTGCTACTGAGTGTTGCAGCTACAAGAATTGAGGATTGTGAGAGAGGATGCATCCTCTTTTTAATTAAAAAAATATTATTGGTGGTTGGGGTTATTGGGAAGGGGAAAATATTAGTTTAGCTCTTGTCTGCTGTCACTAGAACACTACAAGAAGCTAAGAAATAAAAGAGCATAAAATTGGTTAATTTGATGGGATGACGAAAGAGAGAGAGAGATACTGACTTAGGTGGCTTCCAGGTCAGACAGTTACTCCATGTACCTCCATAAAATGACACATGCTGGATGCAATATCAGTTTCCTCGTCGGCATTTTCTTATCAAAGGCACTTGTTGAACAAGGACGAAAGTAAACTATGAAAAGATGTGCTTCACAATGCTAAGAGGTAAAATAAAAGGGTCATAGGAGTCCACAGTAAGATAATGACAAAACTGTAATTATTACAGACTGCATGGACCAAGGCTAATAAACAGACAAAACACATAAGGATAAAAGTGAAAATACTGAATTCTCCCACCAACCTCCTTATGATATCCAAATGTCAGAATTATTGACATATGGGGGATCTCATCACTTTTGAGAAGAAACAGCTAGAGTTTCAAAACAGAATCATCGCTATCCCTTTACAAGTAGGTGCTGCTCCCGGACAGAACTGCCAGTGTTTTGGCATCGGGTGATCCTAAAGAGAAAGATTCTAGCAGGTGGGGTAAAATAACGCTGATTTCTTTCTGGACGCGGCAGAATGTCTATTAAATCTTAAATAAACTGGGAACTAAGCAACATTTTAAGTTTTTGCTTTGAAACAGAGTGCGGGTAGCCAAGAAATAGTTCTCCCATAACATGGTACGGGCGCCATCCATCGCATAGCGGGGATGGAGACCACACAAAAGCCATCCGCAGCGGGTGGCGGCTGCAGTTTCCACATTCAGCTGGAGAGGAGAAGAAGCCGTTTCCCCCAGCAGGATTCCCGCAGGAAGCGCTCAGCGCAGCCCGGGCGCCGGGCGGGGCTCGGCACATTCCGGCAGCGGGAGCTCGCTCCTGGGGCGGGGGAGAAGAGACATTCCCGATAGGAAGTGGCACAGTCTCCTGCTTTATTTAAATAAAGCCAGCCTCTCCTGCTCACACACGGGGGAGCTTTAAGCTTTAACTGGTATCCCAAGGGTTGCGGACACACCGAGTGACAAAGGCGCCCGCGGCTCGGCTAAGGCGCCGGGCGGGGACGGCCGCGCGGGGTTTAAATGCCCCGCGGGGGCGGTCCGGCAGCGCTGCGTGTCCCGCCCGTCCCCGCCCCGCTCAGCTGACAGCGGGGCCGCCCGCCGGAGCCGCCGCCGCCGCTCGGTGCCCGCCTGCGCGGCCCCGCCGGGGATGGGGACGGGGGGCGGCGCGCCGTGAGCGGCCCGCGGGCGCGCCCGAGCCGCGCTGCTGCCGCACGGAGCCGCCGGCGGGATGAGCGGGAGCGGCAACCCCGGGCCCGGCGCGGCGCCCTGCCGCTTCGCCCACTACTTCGTGCTGTGCGGCATCGACGCGGAGAGCGGGCTGGAGCCCGACGAGCTGGCAGGTGAGCCGCGCCGGCGGGAGGCCTCGCCCGCGCCCGCACCGCTGCGGCTCGCCGGGCGTCTGGGATGCGCTGCCTCAAAATGTCTGCTCCCCCCGAGGAGGGGACGAGGGGGAGCCGCAGAGAGGGAGCGACTTTGGAGGATAAAGCATCCTTCGGAGGGGCTGGCGAAGCATCCCTCCGGGGGCAGGTCCTGCCGGGCGGCGGGGAGCGTTTGGGATGCGCCGTCCGCCGCAGGCCGGGCTGCGCTGCCCCGCCGCTGGCCCGGTCCCTGATGGTGGCGGGGACAGGCATCCCCCCGCGGCCGGGCTCAGTGGCTCGGCCGCGGCCAGCGGGGTGCCTCTGGCGGGAGAAGGGAACCCAGGGATACGGAACTGGAGAGAGCCGAATGACCGAGCTTTCTGCCCGGGCATATGCGTTTTCTTCAGTAACTGCACTGGAAAGGAGGGGGAGGGATCTGGGAAGAACTGAATATATTAATGGAATCACATCTTTATTATGTTTGTTCACATCTTTATGTCTATTCAGAAATTATCTTCCTGCATCCTTCTATTCCCCACCACGCCAAAAATGTTAAATAAAAAAAAGAACAAAACTATTGGTATAGGCTCTAATGCATTTTCTAAAATGTTTATTTTTGGTGGGTTCATGACGGGATATGAGCTGATTACGTTGGCATAAGGCAGCAGTTCTTCTTCAATGTCACTTTTGTTTATGCAAAAGAAGCTGTTTAAGTGAGGTTTTTACATATAAAATTTGAACAACTTTAGGCTTAATAACACGGATTAGTTGTATGGAAGCTAAGTGTTTCCTCATGGAGTTAGGAGTTTGGAAGTGTTTAAGTGCCAGTGTTTGCCCATTCCCGTGCGTTCACACTGCAGGCAAAGGAGCTGTGCGTGGCTGAAGTTGAAGGCAGCTGTAGCTGTCACCGTGAGCACCTCTGCCCGGCAGTGGGATCCTGAGGATGGGATCCTAATGAGGTCTCCACAGCTATTGCATCAGGAAGTACCTTGCCTTCTGGTTGTGTAAGAGAAAGACGTGATGATCTATATCACTGGTCAATGTACACTGGTTGAAGTTCATGTTTTTGTCACCAGTAGAAGGGGTGGATGCACGTATGTTTCCAAGGAAAAACTTTCCAAGAAACCTTATCTTAAAGCAGGGTGACTAAGTCTCTACCCCTGGCAGTGAGCACACACTGGAGGTAGCCCTGGGGTTTCCAAGTTGAAGCATTTGCTAAATGTGCTTCCATCTCTTTGTTTTTTCACATGTACTTTTGACCACAGTTGTGTGTTTTCAGTTTTGCTGCTTTTAGTAGAAAACTCCTGACTTGTGAACCGCCTCCCAGCTGATGGCATACAGGGTTTGATTTGCATGATATGACCTATTGGGGTTTCAGCTACCTAAACTTTGAGCCATCTGTCTGAAAAGAAACTATTTTTAAAGCTGTGTTGGCTGGTAGGCTGTGCCTTCCCTGATGTACCCAGCCTTTCCAAGTTGTCTTTTGCTGATTTTTTGCACCATTTCCCAGAGAGGTGCACAGATGTATTCCTGGGGAGCACTGCTCAAGGACAGCCTGAGTGTGATGGGTTTGTGCAGATGTACTACCTCGACTACAGGGCTTCTCTTTCATGGTCATTCAGTAGGTTTGGCTGAACTGCTCCAGGAACACTAAGCAGATTTCAAAGCTAAAGTAATCTCCCTCTTCATTTTTCAGTGAAAGAAAGTAATTTTGGCACATCTAGGATATACTCATTTATAAAATACGGTGCAACTGTAAATAATTTCAAAGAGAAATTAACGAAAGCAATTTTCAAAGCAAGTCTTTATAACTGGTTTAAACTAGGCAAGGTCCAGCAATATGGTTTGGACATACAGACATTTTTGGTCATGCCAGTTTGGGAGGCATTCTTAATACCTTAGGAGGGTTGGGATGTGATAGAGGAAGAAGTGGAGTAACAGAAATATGATGGGACTTAATATTGCCACTGAGCAATGTTATATTTTTAGGGACTCGTGACAAGAGCTTTCTGCTATCAGCTGGGAGCTCAGCAGTGGGAAATGCTGGGAAGGAACAGGGAGTGCTATGAGCCACAAATATAATGCAGCCGTGGAAAAATTAACTCTGGTTTGAGACGTAGCTGAGAAAACATTTCTGTTAAAGCTTGGGGAGTACTAATGCTGCAGTAGGCAGGCAGTAGTGAGAGCCTGTCTAGAAATCTGTGTTACAGGTCTCAAAAACCAAGGTACTATGATTGAATTCACCGCTGTAATGGGTGGGGAGAAAGATGCTTGAGGGAACAGAAAGTCTGTTCTATCATAGGAAACCCACAAATGGCTATTCTTGCTAAAAATGTTCTTTGTAGAAGTAAATGACCCTGTTCTTTCAGTATTATGTAGCTGTGATAGCTACATCTTGCTATCCTTGTGCTTAAAGAGCTTGTTGAGGTAAGTCACAAGACATCAATGAAAAGTTGCTGTGACTTAAGCTGCTGCACAGATCATCCCCGGTTTAGCAAAAAAAAAAAGTAATGAAGAACCTGCTTATCTCTAAACCTTGAATCCCTTGGCAGTCAGTGTTAACAAAGCAAACAGGGTGCTCACTCCAGGTCTGACTGATGGAACCGCCTTGGGGCTGAGCAGAGGAGCAGGAGAAGCGATAAGAAGGAGCTCTGCTGCTGCTCTGGAGCCCCAGGGCCTCTCCTGTGAAGAGAGAAGCAGGAGTTAGAAAATCCTTGAGATCTGAGATATGGACTTGGTGGTGATCTGCTGATACTCAGGCAGCTCACCCTGGTACACGGTGTGCTAAGGAGCTGCCTGTGAGTCAGCTCTGGCTCATCTGGAGCTCCCTGACCTATCTCCTGCCTTTGCTGGGGACAGCCCGGGACTCTCCCCTGTGCGGAGGCTTTCCTTGCTTCAAACCCAAAATCTCTTTCCACAAAAATTCTCTTCAATTAAAAAAAAAAAAAAAAAGCACCAAAAAATCCTCATCTACTGCATCAGGCATGGAAGTAAATGTTTCAGTGTTACTCGTGAAAGCAGGGCAAAGAACTGCTTTTCTAATTCTTGTCGTGTGATAGGTCTGTTCAGAAAATGAAATAAAATCAACATTTATGGTTGTATAATATTTTGACATGCTTTTAGGGAAGAGCATTTTGTTTCTAGTTCTTGTTCCACTGAATGAATGCTCAGGGCTTAAAATAAGCTTGGTAGATGAGAATTTTCCACCAAGCAAATGGTTCATTTTTCTTTGATTATTTTTTTGTCTTTTGCATGTATGAAGTTTTCTGGTACCGATTTTTTTTTTATTTTTTTGGGTAGTGAGTTCCTCCACAGCTGGCTCTTCACATGGCTGATTTGGGGTTTTTAAGTGAACTAATTTTGAACAGCTGAAAGCTGTTTACCTATTGCTCAATTTGGTAGTGTATCCAGGCACACAACAAAATTGTGTGTAGATTATGATGTTGTCAAAACACTTGTGGCCCTTATCACAAAGCTCTCACTCAAGGATGGAGGGAAAAAAAACCCTTTTCTTTTTCCAGGGACTCTTTTCCAGGCTCTTTCCAGGGACTTGAGGTGGAAAGGAAACTATCTAAGGATTTCTTGACGTTTAATAGTTGGAGAGGTCATAAAAGAAAAGCAGGGTATTTGATGTGAAATATCTTGAAAAGCACGAAAATTTCGGTACTGGTTTCAGTGCTCTGTTGAACTTCACTAAAGTAGGGTGAAGGGAGCTTTTTTGTCATGTTTAGGGCTGATGGAAAATAAATTTCAGTTCACTTTGCTCTTCATGCCTGCTTCTTTCAGGTAAAGCCATTTTGAGACTATCAGCTTTGGAACTCCATGTGCTCAAATGAATTTGTTACAATAAATATTTAACATTGCATTCAACAAAAAGACCTAATTGTTCATTAAATTGTTTCTTTCATATGTTTTGTTACACTATATGAACTTCATGTTCATACATAGTGAACTATATGTGCAGGGCACGAGGTTTTCTGGCTATAGCAGCTTTTACCATTTGCTTGGGGAACATATTACATTTTGTAATATCTTGTTCGAGTGTCACAAACTACAATTTAGAAAAATCCAGAATACACATGACTGAATTAAAAAGAAAATGAAATATACTTTATTGGGGAAGTAATTTAGTGCCCTTTAGGAAAGTAGGGACAGAATTAGGGATGGATGTTTTGTTCTGAAGTGGAAGGACTGGTGTCCATTGAGGGTGCAGTTTGGAGGAAGAAAAGGTGCAGTAAGCCAGCATGGGAAGTGAGACTTCCAGGACCGTGTTGGATGGTGCTTTCTTTGTCTTAGAATGTGAATATTGGTGGAGTTATGGTAGCCTGCTTGCTGTGTGAAAAGATTTATAAGGTTTTTATAGGGTTTTTTTCCACACATGAACTGTAAATGTTACCTTACACTGTCTCGTTTTGGCCATTGTGTAAAGATTCAATATCTTACTGTCCCATTCAGTATATATTTGAAAACTGTAGAGAGCTTCATTAGTTTACTTTTAAGATCAAATTCTTTATTTTAATGGCCAGCAAAGCAGAGAGTGCATACTGGTCGTGCTCACTAAAAATGCTGAATGTCTTGGGGAAAATGCGCATTTCTTCTACCTCATGCTGTTTCCCTACAAATATCCACATATTGGTAATTAATTTCCCTTCAATGAAGCATTGAGATCCAAACAGGGCATGCTGCAGTCTGGCTAACTGTGCTTCTTATCTAGTAGGCTCTTATTTTTAGAAAGTTAAAAGACATTTTTGTCCTTGTGTGTGCTTGGCAATGGCGTGCTCACGCCTTGCAGAGCCTCCCCACCACCTGCGCTGTTCTCCCTCGCGCTTCCTCCGTGCCAGGTCTGTGCACAAAGCGCGCTGCCAGAAAACTTGGTGGCGTTACTACAGTGATACAACTTCTTGTGTGCATGGCTTTTCTGAAAATAGGCAATTGGATTTTTTCCTAGTTTGCTGGAAATAGACTAAGTTTCCCTTTACCGG